TAAAAAGTATGTGTTTTGAAATTTGAACAATGGAGTAGCACTTGTTGTATCTTTAAACAATTGATGCTATTTATTTGATTTGTTTCAAATGGTTTGGATTGGCTATGAAAATCTTGATTTGACAAAAAATAGATCCTTTGAGGCTATTAGGCTATGAATTTATTTTTGATATTCAAATATTTTGGGAATTACTAGTGGAGACCACCAAGATTGCTTCGAATGTTGAGTTCGTTACTATGGAACTACACATGCCGGTATAGGATACATTCTAAGGTTAAGCCGAGATTTGTGAAATAAAGTCCCCCATTGAGAGGGCAAACGACCATTACTTAAAGTAATGAAGTTAAGTTGACTCGTACGGCACTACGGGAAGCCACTCAGACAAGTTGGGACAAATACTTGTTGCTAGGTTGATCACCTAGTAGTTGTTTACTATGTCGGTATAGTACTCCCGCTGAAAGGTAAAGAAGACTTTCTTATGTTTAGGCCTAAGGAGCCGAAAGTGATTTCAATGACTTAATGAAATTGAAATGGTTTTGTATGATTTTTATTAAAAATCTTCGATTGATATAAATGTTCTAAGAATTTATATCATTGGTCATATTTTACTTGTCTTTTAATTTGAAATGCTAAAAAGCATGATTTATATAATTGTTTATCACTTTATATCAAATATTGGTTGCATATTTTTGTAAAATCTTGTCCCAGAGCTTGAGTTAGAGAGAGTATATGATACTTATCGAGTAATGTGGTGGTGTACTCAGCCCTCAGGGGTCCTCTACAAGGCTCCACTTACTTTACATATTTTAAGATGAGGGGCATGATTCGTGGCATTCAGATATGGCTAGGATGACTCTCTTCCCAATGTATTCGGTGAGGCACCACTCTTATTTTTAGTGGTAGCTATCATGTTGTTTTTTTATTTTGTGCTAGCCGAACATGACCCAAATATTGAGTTTTATTCATGGTATAGACGCTCCATAGATAGTTGTGGTGAGTTGTAGTAACGGGATGGTACACAACATATATAAAAAGATATATGTTGCATTTGATCTCATTATTAACATGAAAGGCATCATGTGTGATTTTGAATTAGAAAAATATTTCATAATTAAACTTGAAAATATATATGATTTTCAAAGAACTTCGGCAGTTAAATTGGTTTTCAATTTTCATGCATATGGTTCGGGTGCATCATATGGTTTGGTTCGCTAAGGTCGGGTAGTGTGCCGGGTGCCGGTCACTGGTTTTGGGTCGTGACAAATTAGATGTTCTTTTACCACATGTCCTTAATTATGCTAATTGGTTGATTATTACGAAACCAAGATTAATTTAGACGGTTGTATTTATTTAGCTCCGATGAGCTACAAAAATTATATATAAGCCTCATTTTCTGGACCAAGAATCAATAAGAAAATATTCTCATTATATTCTTTAAATTAAATACCGAAATTATAACACTCCAATTCATGTAATTCCATGTATGTCATGGGATTTTATCGTATTTTAAGTCATTCAAAAGAGGAATTGTTCCAAATAACAGTCATATTCACATAATGCATGTCTTTGCTTTTTCCTTCCTATACCATATATGAAACCTTATTATTAAAAATGTGCATAGTTTCATATTTACCCGCCATGTTCACAGTTATTCTACAAAATATATACCATTCATTAAATACCAATTATTAGGAGCTGATTCCTTCCTAATTAGGCGCGCTACAAATCTGGAACTAAATATTCTTCCAGATATTCCTATTTAGGCGCGCTACAATTATGGAAGTAAATATTCTTCCAGATATTTTCCACCATTGACAGCCATTAAAAAGCTTGAAAGCTTTGAATTCAAATTTGGGTTTTCAAAAATCATTATTTGTTTGGATTGGGTGTTGTTGAAAATAATCGGGAATATGGTTTGGAGTTTATATCTCAATTTTGAGGGGTTTTGGTGAAGATTAGACTTGGTTTTGACTGAATTTCAGATTGAAACTCGAAGAAGAAGAAGAAGAAGAAGAAGACGACGACATATTGCAGAAATTGTAGATAAATTGTAGATTATTTGTATTCTGATTGTAGATGCTTTATTTTCTGTTTTCACAAATAAAAAACGGCTAAAACTTCTATAAATCTTCTGAAAAAACGCAATTATGTCAAAAATCACAATTATGCTATAATCGAATGGGAATTGGGATATAAAAACTCAATGTACCCAGTTTGTAGATATTTTGTAGATAAATTGTAGATTATTTGTATTCTAATTGTAGATGCTTTGTTTTCTGTTTTCACAAATCAAAAACAACTAAATTTGTAGATGCATTGTTTTCTGTTTTCACAAATCCAAGACGACTAAAACTTCTGCAAAAAATGCAATTATGTCGAAATTACCAATTAAGCTACAATTGAATGGGAACTGGGATTAAAAAACAACCTCCCAATCTCACTTCACTTGTTGAATGTGAATATAGAAAGTCGAATTAAAGGTTTACTTTGTTGAATTCATGGGTAGAATCAATGCGGCATTTTTTTATCTGATCAAAAAAGAAAATCTATGAAACATTTTAATTTCCTGCCTGATGCATCATAGACTTGTCAATCTTGTTTATATATTCAAAAGTAATACAATATTAGATGTTTGATGTAGTAGGATTTTAGGCTTAGAGTAGGAGAATTAGTTTCATTTTCGACGTTGGATATTCAGACTATATGGTATCCCATTCGACACTAAAAGGAACGATGAAAAGGAAAATTAAGCAAAAGGTCAGCTGCTTCAAAGAGGGAAAATCTCATGAGCTTGAGGATTTCAGAGAAACACAATTATTTGCACTGACAATAACTAAATATTACCAAACAAGTTTCCATAATCATAGGTTTTTATGTTTAATAACAGTACATAAACGTGGGTGAGGGTGAGGGTTTGGGAGAGAGAAACGTGGGAGGGTGGGATATACGGTACCTTGAATTAAGGAGGGATATACGCTGCATTAATTATACCCTTAAAATAAACTATGGTATAGAATTGGTAATTTGGTATACTAAGTGCAATTAAGTCAAACCTTAAACATTGAGGGTAATAAGGTTTCCTACGTGGCATAGGAATGTAAAAATTTAAAAAAAAAAAATAATAATGATTACTTTTACCGTCTTTACCATGGCCAAAGGAGAGAAAATTACGTAAGAAAAAAAGGGAGAAACTTACCTTTTCCAGTCCCTATGGAAAATCACCACTTGGTGAAACAAAATTATTTTATGCTAATAAAGGTTATTTAGTGGGGAGCCTTGGCGTAACTGGTAAAGTTGTTGTCATGTGACCAGGAGGTCACGAGTTCAAGCCGTGGAAACAGCCTCTTGTAATAATAGACCCTTGTGTTTCGGTCCTTCCCCGGACCCCGTGCATAGCAAGAGCTTAGTGCACTGGGCTGCTTTTTTACTGGGGGTTGCAATTTGAGCCAAAACTCATTTGACCCGTTTAATCCTTCAGAAGGTTGGACCTATCATTGACCCGCCCATTTGTTGAACTCATCCATCTTAACACAGCTCATCTCAACCCATCTAAAGTTGGGCTGTTGTTTAGCCCAAACTCCATTAGTAACTTTGTTAAAATATCTTAGAAATAAGTCTTTTTGTTTGAAATTTTATATATGACCATAACAAAAGAAAGAAAAAAAACTTTATTTAATAATTAAACAATACATAAGAAAATAACACACATTAACTAAAGTTTAATCAGAGTTGGACTGGTTGGACTATAACCAAAATTTTAGCCTATTTGGATCTTAGCCCAACTGGGCGCATCATTGACCCGCCTATTTTAATCTGTCCCAAATTAGCTCAATCCGCCTATTTGACACCCTGAATTGGAACTAAAGAGAGTCAAAACAAAATTTTAAAATGGAAAGAAGGCAACGGACCATTTGTTGCCTTTATTCTTCAACCATATCTCAGATGGACATAACATCATTTTCTTCATGTGGTTACATTTAAGATAGGGCAAGTTACACTTTTGGAATATTTTCATCCGCGATTGGAGCGGCCTATGTTGTAACGGATGAGAGAAGGTGAGCCAGCTTCCTTTGGTCGCCTCTCCCATCTGGTCGAGTAGCATTCGCTCCTTCCTACTTAAAACGAAAGGGCAGCCCGGTGCACTAAGCTCCCGCTATGCGCGAGGTCCAGGAAGGGCCGGACCACAATGGTCTACCGTACGCAGCCTTGCCCTACATTTCTGCAAGAGGCTGTTCCCACGGCTCAAACCCCTGACCAGTATTAAAAAAAGCGGGCGCTTCCTCGCTTTAAGCGAGAAGCGAAGCGGAGCGGGAGGGGTATCGCTACTGCCATTAAAAGCGGCTCAGGTATGCATGCTTCTCTCTAAAACTAGCGATTTCTTCCTCACTTCAAGCAGCGATTTGTTCAAGCAAAATAGGGTTCTTCTTCTTCTTCTTCAAGACTTCAACAGTACAACAGCAACTTAGTTTCAACAGGTATGTTTTCCAGATTTATTTTCATTCTTCTTCTTCTTCTTCTTCTTCTTCTTCTTCTTCTTCTTCTTTTTCTTTTTCTTTTTCTTTCTAAACGCCCAAAAAGCGCCGAAATGCTGGCGAATTTTTTTCAGAAAAACTCTGCCCAGTTTCTGCCCAATTATTGTCTTTTATTCTTAGTTCTTAAGGCTTTTCTTATGTATTATGTAGTTGTTCTTTTAATGGCGCCAAAAAAGATAGGAAATTTTTTAAATTTTTTTTTAAAATTCCGCTTCACTTAAAAAAAGCGGGCGCTTCGCTTCTCGCTTCTCGCTTCTCGCTTTTCGTGAAATGGGGGTTGTCGCTTTTTCTCGCTTCACACTATTTTTAACACTGCCCGTGACCTCCTGGTCACATGTCAGCAACTTTACCAGTTACGCCAAGGCTCCCCTTCAACACTCCTTCCTACTTACTTTATTATAATATAAGCTTAACACAAAAAAAATATGTATATTTTATGTATATTACACATTAAATATACACAAAATATACATTTTACCGGCTTTTATTTTGAAAACGGCTATACTAGGTAGTTTTCCCTTTTAAAGGCTTGTATACATGAATTATGGATTTTGCTAGTACTATCATAAAACAGAACAAAAGCTAGTTCTTGTAAAAGCTAAAAGAAAATATCTTCTCTTCATATAATCCAGGACACAAAGGAGTCTCTTCAAAAGCTGGGAATTTGGGCATTTAGCTAGATTTGTGATGAAGCAGAACAACACAACAACAGTCCCACAAGTAGGATCTGGGGAGGATAGTATGTACATATCTTACCTCTACCTAGAAGGTAGAAAGGCCGTTCCCGATTTTTTGATGACGCAGACTTTCCAAGTATTTCTCCACATAATCTAGGCCACATTGTGTCTTCACAACAGGTAATGTGGCAGGAACTTCCAAATAGAATTCCGAATCAGACTCGTCGAGCTTGCCCCAAAGTTTAAGTTGTTTTCTTGCTGCTTTAATGGCTGCTCTTGTTGCACAATGAACTGAGGATGCCAGAAGTAGCGGCGGTTCACCAGATGCTGCAAAATGTTGTTATAGCCGTAAAGTCAACATTACGCACAAATAAATGGGCATATACCATTTTGAGGAAACTTCAAAGTGATATTGATTCATCCCTATAGTTGAAAAATGCCTCCGTCTTTTTTTAACCTTCTAATAATTTTTTGGAAAAATCTGGAAATTTCTTCACAAGCTCATTCAACATGGATGGTTCCCAATGTTGCACAGATCTTTCAAAATCCTTACTGCACCCATGTTGATCAACACGATTTTGGGTGTGGTTGTGGGATCCGCAAAAGATTTGGACAACATAACTTGGGTTACTGCACTTATGACCAAGAAGCATAGGTTGATCGGGTATATATATAACGCAGATAAAGTACTCAGAACACTTCACTATTATACGAGATAACCTATGAATAAAATATTAAGTGTTTAAAAAGAACTTAATCATACCAGTTTTCATTTGTAACTTCAATTAATTGTCGAGATCTACACTCCTATATGTTGTAATATATATTTATTGACGGTATCTTAACGCTCATACCCATACTCCTATTAGTACCCTACCCCCCCCCCCCCCCCCCAAAACCCAAAACAAATCCTTAGATCTAAATAATGAGGAATCCAACTTCTAGATCGCACCTGTATTGGGTGCCCGAACCCATATTCGAGCAACATAGATGGTTTCAACAAGGTGTACCTTTTTCCAGCACAAGAGACATGGAAACTTTTGAAATCTCCTTTTAAGTGATGAAATGAAGAAATAACAGTACCTTTAGATGAGAGAACACGTTTCTCGTGATGTCCACTGTTTAGCACTTGAACATTGAAATTTTTCGGTATTGTGTCAATTGTTGGGATCTTGTATGTCCAAGTACTATCTGAAACGACCAACCCGTCTGTGTTTGTAAGATATTCTTCGAGCATAAAAAATCCAATTCCTTGTACAAAAGCCCCTTCAATCTGCAACAAACAAAATTCCCCACAACTTAAAATGTAACGTTATTGATTCATCACCAATTTAAAAGGATGGAAATTCTTTCTTAATTGTTTACGGAAATCCACATTATAAAAGCTAAAACTTAGAGTAAATTGAGGCAAATTTTCGACAGACCTGTCCCATATCAACAGCTGGGTTCAAGCTTTGTCCACAGTCATATATAATATCAGACTGCAAAATTTTTGTTTCTCCTGTCAGGATATCTATCTCCACCTGCAAAACCAACATTTTTATTGTTATTTTCCATATAAAATGGCTGCTAGATATTCCAAAACTAGAATGTCGGTGGAAGTGTTTTGCAGTTACAAGATATTGAGAATTGATGTAATCCTTGAGGACAAGGCGACAATAGATCTTTCCATAATTAAGAAATATATGTCGGCCGAAATATCCAAACCAATTAATCCAAAACCGAACTTAAAAATCCGATCCAATTTGAGCTTATTTGGATTGGATTTTGAATGTAATTCTTCAATCCAAAAACTGAAAATCCAGACCGAAATTTTCATATCTAGTCCAAACTGCCTGAACGCTCACTCCTACATGGAGCTACAAAATTAAGTGAATAAGAGAACAAGTTTACCTCGCTCACAGCAGCACCATAGTTTAAATATTGCATGGAACTGGATGCCGGCACATAATAAGAGTTTGCTGCTAGGTTTACCGCTTGCATGTGTGCCTGAGAAGGGTAGAGGAGGATAAGAATTGAATATTGCAATATTATTCGACGTATAGACAAAGAATGTTTTAAGAGGTTTAAATAACACAAATGGATCAGGACGTACATTTCATGCAATTCCTGTTAATTAGTTGCTTTAGGACTGCAATATTTATATTATTTTCCTGCAATTTGTATTTTCAGTTTTATTAGGAGTTAGTTATCATGGTCAGTTCCATGACTTAAAAGTAGGGTCATGATCTATTTCAGTTTTCTTTTTAGGATATGTTTAAGAACCTGTCTTTCTACAGAATTAACTGAACTCTTTGTATGTTAGTTTCTCTAAGTCATCTTCTTAATTTTAGTTCTTCATATTCTCCCTGCTTCTTGTTGTGTTTAAAAGTAGACACTGTCTTCATCGTGTTTGCTGTCATTTGTGCTTTAAATCTAACAATTGGTATCAGAGCTTTCATCTTAAGGGATCTGTGATCAAGTTGGAGAAGTTATGGATGCTGAAGTGAGTTTTTCACCGATTGCTCCGCCGGTCTTTGATGGAGATAACTATCAGATCTGGGCAGTACGAATGGAGACATATTTGGATCCTTTGGATCTCTGGGAAGCTGTGGAAGAGGATTATGAAATTCCAGTCCTACCAAATAATCCCACCATGGCTCAGATCAAAGCACACAAGGAAAAGAAGACAAAGAAATCGAAGGCCAAAGCATGTTTATTTGCTGCTGTATCGCCAACAGTTTTTACACGGATAATGTCTCTGAAAACTGCTAAAGAAGTATGGGATTATCTCAAGGAAGAGTATGCTGGAGATGAGAGAATAAAAGGTATGCAAGTTTTAAACTTAATTAGGGAGTTTGAATTGCAAAAGATGAAGGAATCTGAATCAGTTAAGGAGTACTCAGATAGACTTCTGAATATTGCAAATAAGGTGAGGCTACTAGGCTCTACACTCGCAGATTCAAGAATTGTTGAGAAGATTCTTGTAACAGTGCCTGAAAGGTATGAAGCAACAATTACGACCTTAGAAAATACTAAGGATTTGTCAAAAATTAGTTTGGCAGAGTTGCTAAATTCCCTGAAAGCTCAAGAGCAAAGAAGGCTCATGAGGCAGGATGTTACAACAGAAGGGGCTCTTGCTGCTAAGCACCAGGTTGATGGTAAAAACAAAATAAAGAAGAAGAAGAAGAAGAATCAAGCGTCAAATGAAGGAGAAACATCAACCAACAGTAAAAGTAAGGGAGGAAGTATGAAGAAAAACTACCCCCCTTGCCACCACTGTGAAAGAAAAGGTCATCCGCCATTCAAATGTTGGAGGAGACCTGATGCTAAGTGCAAGAAATGCAATCAGCTCGGACATGAAGCCGTGATTTGCAAAAATAAGGCCCCGCAACAGGAAGCAGATGCTCAAGTTGTTGATCAAGAAGAAGAGGATCAACTTTTTGTTGCAACATGCTTCTCAAGTAGCTCAACAGATTCTTGGTTAATTGATAGTGGTTGCACTAACCACATGACTCACGACAGGAGCCTATTCAAGGAGTTGAAGCCCATTGAAATTTCCAAAGTTAGGATAGGAAATGGTGACCATCTTTCTGCCAAAGGAAAAGGAACCATAGCTATCAAGACAAACACAGGCACAAAGAGCATTTCAGAAGTTCTTTATGTACCTGACCTTGATCAAAACTTGCTAAGTGTAGGACAACTACTTGAAAAAGGATTCAGAATTTACTTCGAAGATCATCACTGTCAAATCAGTGACGTGGTTGGACGTGAAATTTTCAGGGTGAAGATGAGAGGAAGGAGTTTTCCTTTCGATCCAACTGAGAAGGAACAATTGGCTTATTCCACCGGAGCAAGTGTAACTGAAATTTGGCACAAAAGACTTGGCCATTGTCATCTACAAGCATTGTTGCTGTTGAAGAAGGATGATATGACAAGAGGGCTACCAACTCTAGTTGATCATTTACCAAGTTGTCAAGCTTGTCAATTTGGTAAGCAAAACAGGAAGCAATTCCCTGAAGCATCATGGCGGGCTTCTCAAAGGCTGCAACTGATTCACACAGATGTTGCAGGACCTCAAAGAACACCCTCCTTAAAAGGTAGCCTCTACTATGTTATTTTCATTGACGATTATACAAGATTCTGCTGGATTTTCTTTATGAAATACAAATCAGAGGTGGCTGGAATTTTCTGGAAGTTTAAGAAGATGGTGGAAAATCAAAGTGGTTACAGAATCCAATCCCTACGGTCTGACAATGGAAAAGAGTATAATTCTGAAGAATTCAACAAATTTTGTGAGGAAGCTGGTATTGTTCATCAGCTCACTGCTCCATACTCTCCGCAGCAAAATGGAGTTAGTGAAAGGAGGAATAGGTATATAATGGAGATGACACGGTGCATGTTGCATGAAAAAGAGCTGCCGAAAAGCTTTTGGGCTGAGGCAGCTAACACGGCGGTATTTCTCCAAAACCGACTTCCCACTAAAGCATTGCAGAATAAAACTCCATTCGAGGCTTGGTATGGATTCAAACCTTCACTAAGCTTCATTAAAGTATTTGGTTGTGTTTGCTTCTTTCATGTGCCACAAGTTAAAAGAGATAAACTTGATAAAAAAGCAATTCCTGGAATCTTTGTGGGTTATAGCTCATTCTCCAAAGCCTACAAAGTTTATGATCCACAAACAGGAAAGATGATCGTCAGCAGAGATGTGCACTTTAATGAGGAAGAAATGTGGGATTGGGAGAATAATCAAATTTCAATCAAAGCATCAGAGAAGCAAGCATCTGATCAATGGAAAAATGAGTTAGTGGATCATCCTCCAATCAGAGGTACAAGATTACTTTCTGATATCTACCAACAAAGTAATGTGGCAATTTGTGAACCTGCTGGGCACGAGGAAGCACTTCAAGATAAAAATTGGAGAAATGCTATGGAACAGGAGATGTTAATGATCAAGAAGAACAAAACCTGGGAGTTAGTTGACAGGCCAAAGGATAGGAAGGTCATTGGAGTAAAATGGGTGTTTAGAACCAAGCTTAATTCTGATGGTTCTACCAACAAACACAAGGCTAGGCTTGTTGTCAAGGGGTATGCCCAGATTTTTGGTGTTGATTACTCAGACACTTTTGCTCCAGTAGCCAGGTTGGATACTATTAGACTGTTGCTAGCAATAGCAGCACAAAAAAGCTGGAAGGTGTTCCAGCTAGATGTCAAATCCACATTTTTAAATGGTATGTTGCAGGAAGAAATCTATGTAGAGCAGCCAGAGGGTTTCATTGAGCAAGGACAAGAAGAAAAAGTTTGTCTTCTTAAAAAGGCTCTTTATGGCTTAAAACAAGCTCCAAGGGCTTGGTATAGCAGGATAGATGAACACTTGTTGAGTTTGGGATCTGTAAGAAGTATGTCTGAAGTTACCCTTTATGTCAAACATAAGGGAACTGATCTTCTTATAGTTTCTCTTTATGTTGATGATCTCTTGGTGACCGGGAACAATGCGTGCCTGGTTGAAGAATTTAAGAAGGAAATGATGCAAGTTTTTGAAATGACAGACCTTGGGCTAATGACATACTTTCTGGGAATGGAAATCAAGCAAGGTTCTGATGCAATTTTTATCTGCCAGAAGAAGTATGCAAGGGAGATACTTAAAAAATTCGGCATGGAGATGAATCCGAAGGAAAAGTTAAGCAAAGAGGATGGAACTGATAAAGTTGATGAAGGAAATTTCAGAAGCTTGATTGGGTGCTTGATGTATCTCACTGCTACAAGGCCGGATATTCTATTTGCTGTAAGTCTTTTGTCCAGATTTATGCATTGTGCTACTGAAATGCATTTGAGAGCAGCGAAAAGAATTATACGATACATTAAAGGTACTGTCGACTATGGTGTCAAATTCAAGAAGTGTCAGAATCTCAAGTTGTGTGGATTCTCGGACAGTGATTGGGCTGGATCCTTTGACGATATGAAGAGTACATCTGGATATTGCTTCAGCCTAGGATCAGGGATTTTTTCTTGGTGTTCCAAGAAGCAAGAAACGGTGGCACAATCCACTGCAGAGGCTGAATTCATTGCAGCAACAACGGCAGTAAATCAAGCCTTATGGCTAAGAAAATTACTGTGTGATTTGCATATGGATCAAAGAGATAATACAGAGATTCATGTTGATAATCAAGCTGCAATAGCTATTTCACATAATCCAGTGTTCCATGGGAAGACTTAACACTTCAACATTAAGCTTTTTTTCTTGAGGGATGTGCAGAAAAATGGAGAAGTGATTCTTGTTTACTGCAAATCAGAAGACCAGCTAGCAGATGTGTTTACGAAATCTCTTCCTGTCAGCAAGTTCGAGTTCCTGAGGCAACGACTTGGAATTTGCAGCTCCTAATGCAAGGAGGAGTGTTAATTAGTTGCTTTAGGACTGCAATATTTATATTATTTTCCTGCAGTTTGTATTTTCAGTTTTATTAGGAGTTAGTTATCATGGTCAGTTCCATGACTTAAAAGTAGGGTCATGATCTATTTCAGTTTTCTTTTTAGGATATGTTTAAGAACCTGTCTTTCTACAGAATTAACTGAACTCTTTGTATGTTAGTTTCTCTAAGTCATCTTCTTAATTTTAGTTCTTCATATTCTCCCTGCTTCTTGTTGTGTTTAAAAGTAGACACTGTCTTCATCGTGTTTGCTGTCATTTGTGCTTTAAATCTAACAATTCCCTTTCAACTTAAACCAAATTATCATGGTCTTCAAAATTAAGTCCAACACAGGATGTTTCCAATTGAGTCGGTTCTTTACCATATATTATCCTCTTGACTACTTCAATTTGACATCATTTTTAGAAACTGGAATTCTATTTGGAAAGGTTCTATATGATGAGCAAGGTATTCATAATATATGTTGTGCAGACTCTCAAAAATGCTGCCACACATGTGTCGCATTCTCCAAAGATACACTACTTTCAGAGGATCCGACTCTCAAGTTCGAGCAACATAGAATCACAACTGACATGGTCAGAGGCGGAGCTAGAATTTGAAGCTTATGGGTTCGGAATTCTAGTTCTTTTAAGCTACTGGGTTCTAAAGTCATAATTTACACATATTCAATGAAATTTTTAAGACAAATACAGGATTTGGACCAAAGCTACTGGGTTCTGCCGAACCTGTAGCCGAAAAGGCTAGCTCTGCCACTGGACGTATAGGCTTGAGATAAATATGTCTAAAATCATAAAACAGAAATCAGCTCGATTGCATAAACGATTTTATCTTACAAAATTGTAAATTAAGGAAGTCAAAAGAGAAGATCGGACAGAAAAGAGAAACCTGGCGAATCAATGTAGTCCAATCAACAGAACCATTTTCTTCTTGTAATGTCTTCTTCAGAGGGGTCAGTCTTTCAACTAATACATTACAGCAAAGTCTAACTGCTTCACAGCTCGATTCAGATGTAGTACTTCCAGCAGTAAACCCGCCTTGCACTAAGCTTAGAGTGTCTGCTTGTATAACACGTACTTTCTCCACAAGTTCTTCACTCCAACTACTTTCAATTAAACTAAGACCATAGGCTGTCATTTGCTTCACCTTTGTCCATAGACCTTGGCCGATTTCAATACCTCCGACCTCAACAACTATTGATCCGTCCGACAAAATGCTTACTTTTCCGGGCGTCGGTCGTTGTGTAGATTCATAAACAAGTGGCACTCGAGAAATACCCCTTTTCTTCCATATACTTTTCTGGTTATATTGTTCTATCATCTCACTTCTTTGAACGAAACTTGACGATGTGGCCAACCTATCCATCATACCTGGTAAAGTATAATCTCCTATATCTCCTGCACTGCGCTCATAGAATAATTTAAGACTTTCAAATGTATGAATATTTTGTTTTCTGATTGAGTCCACCTCCGAAGACAGTACACTCGCTACATGCTCCATTATAGCTTCGGCAATATACGATCCTTGTACCTCCCCCGGGCCCCGCATAGCTGATTTGCTAGTAAGGTTCGTCTTACATACCTTTATATCAAAAGATAAGGCACCCCAATCATACTTTTTGAGAGCCCCGATAAAGTTCGACGGTATGATAGGGCTTACATCTTCAATGATCCCAGCATTTATCAATACATCAAGATGTAAGGCAGTGATTTTCCCATTTGACTTAAATCCAACACTGTATGTTATTTTCATGGGGTGTCTCCCCCCTGCCATTATCATGTCAGTCTTTCGGTTGACGTATATTCGGACAGGGCGTTGTAACTTGAACGCTGCAAGTGCACAGGCTGTGGAGACCTAACATGGCATACATAGATTTTTGTAACGGAACTAGAATTTCTTTTGCAGCAGAAAGAAAGAGAAGGAGAAAGAATAAGAGAGAAATATAGAGGGAGGAGGAAGTGAATGTGATGTCTTGAAAGTTGAGGGTAGGCATTAATTTCATAGTTTATCTGAATCCATGCATTTATATCTATCCTTTGAATATTAAAATCCCAAAGCTAATTAATGACATGAAAATGTTTCATACATAATAGGAAAATATGGAAAAAAATTATTAAAGAGAGCATCATAAAAATTATAAAGAAAAACTGGGGAAGTATTTTTGTGCCTGCTTAGAAATGGAATCTGCAAAGCTTCTAAAACAGCTAGTTAATTATGTCGGAACAAAAAAATGGAAAAAGGAAAGACTAAAGAGTTGATTTTAACCTATAACATATAAAACTTTGTCCAAGCAGAAATTTATGTTTTCATCAATGTCTTCTCTATTAGGAGTAACAGATACTCACAGGCATTGCTCTCACCGCCTTGCCTCCAAAGCCACCTCCAACCCTTCTTGTAACGACACGAATGTTGTGCTCGGGGACACCAAGACAACTAGCAATTACACTACCTGCATACTCGGGGCACTGACTTGACGCATAGACAACCATACAGTTATCTTCATCCGGAACTGCTAGAGCAGTCTGTGTCTCCATATAAAAATAGTACTGAGACCCAAGTCTCATCTGCAAATGATTATTAACAGAGCCAATCACTATTAAATTTGAATCATTAGTATATTTTACATGTAGCGTTTTTCATTTTTGGCCGGCGGCCCAAAATAAGTACAGGCAGTAGCCCAAATATACAAAACATATACTCTGATTATGTATATTATATGTTTTTTTTGTATATTATATGTATATTATACTTAATTTACGAAACATATACATTCGCCGGCTATTATTTTTTTGGGGGGCCCATAGATGTAATCATCCCAATACATAATATTCCACCTCGCAGGAACCGACATTTCGAGGACTTGTTTAAGAGAAATCACTAGGGAACTAATAAAAAATACCTCAGCAGAGAGGATCTTGTGGTCAGCTTCAGTCATTCCTTCTGAGAAATCACCAACTTTTTTCGGATATAGAAATGGTGGAACTTGAAAAAAACTGGACTTCTGAACGGCTTCCTCGACAGTTAAAATTGGTGAATCTACATTTTCAGTGTCATATTCAACGACGGCCATGTTTGCGGCCACATCAGCAGACCTCTGACTTTCAGCAACCTAAGTTATTTCACCACAACATTGATCATAAAAGGAATAATTTAAAATAATCCTCTCTAGCGAAGCATATGAAAAATCACCTTGCCTGAACCTCTTCTAGCAAAAGGGCGATGAAAAAAAATAAGGGCTTACCACAAAAGCAATTCGGTCACCAGCATATCGGGCGAGATCATCTGCAAATAAAGGTTCAGGACCAAATATGGTCTTAGATCCTACATTTGCTCCTCTGCTCGGGATATCTTTAAAAGTAATAATGCAACTAACTCCGTCAGGTAATGAATTAGACCCAAAATGGATGCCCTTTACCCCTGCTAATGGTCTTGTACTATAGATAAATGCTCCATATAGGCAGTTTGGTGGTGATGGAATGTCGTCCACATAAACAGATTCTCCTGCAAATTTCATTCTTTTTTATAAGGTAATGAAATTTATTGATTGCAAGGGAAATTCCCACATACAAGATGTGTACAATATAGAGAATTACATGCATGATTCTCTACTACATGTTTTCAATCATATATACTAGCAAGAGTGCTCTAGGTGCTCCCAAACATGCACTAATACTAGCTTCCTCTCTAATGAGGCGGAGTGAGGATTTGAACTTTTTGGATTCTAAATTCTAGAATAGTGACATCTAGTGTTAGTAATTCAGCTCTTAATCTAATTATTGTTTAATATTTAGTGGATTTCTTTAGGCAAATACAGGATTTGGACTAAAGCTACTAGGTTCGGCCGACCCCGTAGCTAGGCTTCTAGCCTTATCCCACTAACCCAGATCATGCCCGTGGAACCCACTAGAGGTAGAAGAGCTCTCCACCAGGAGTTTCTCCATTCCCAGGGCTCGAACCCAAGACCTTTGGTTAAAGATAGAGGGATCCCATCTACCCCACCATATTCCTTGGTGTTCATGTCTATCGTAATTGATAGAACATTCCTAAATTTAACTTCCTCATCTTTTTGGTTCCCACTCGCCAGCCTTTCTTCTCCTCGACACTACTTGCTTCCTCGCTTCCGTTGCTCTATCTTCTCTTCCACCCTTCTCTAGTTTCCCATATCCTTCCATTGTTTCCCCATTCTCCCTCTTTTCCATGTCATTTTACTCACAGAGATAACTGTCTCGCCCACAAAACTACTAAAGGGCCAAATGGGATTATCTCCATTTGTTTCTCCTTATCACGTTCACCTCACAAGGGAGCAAGTCAACAGATCCATCGTCAGCCAATCTCTTCTCTTGTAGCATAGGGTCTTTTCCTTCTAGCAAATGACAAGATAACAACAAGGTGATTTATTCAAGCATATAAGAACTTTCAATTAATTTAACTTGAAAACTTTGCAGAAGTAATACAGGTAGGCTTTTAATTAGTTTTCCTTATCACTACCCACTTTATACACAGTCAGCAATTTCAAAGCCAGAAAAAGGATGCAAAATGACATAAAACCGAGTTTTTATGCATGATGTGGAATAAAACACAAAAGGGGGAAACAGACCAGAAGCTTGTAAGGAAGCTCCAGATTTCTTCATTGGTTCACCCACCGGATAATACTCTTTACTCGATTCCACGACTTGCTTAGCAGATGATAGAAGTGTGTCAGCTTTCTCTTCACTAATACAACCGTCTTTGTTACTCTTTGAGACTTCCTCTACCAAAGTACTTTGGTTTAACAGACCACCAGATATCGTGGGACAAACATCGGTGAACCGAAATAGGAACTCAAAAAGAAAACCAACTGCCATGCTTGACCTGTAATCAGGGTGTGAAGTTCCATCTTCGGGTACCACTGCTTGTTTGACTAATTTAAGTGCTTCGGATAACACATTAACGTTTAATATCTTCCCAGTTAGATATTCTTCTACTTTTTTGGCCCTTGTTGCTTGTTTTGTTCCATAAGCACCAAAAGCCAACTGGATATTGTTAATCAGGAACGGATTACCGTGGGGAGAAACATCAGCAAGGAAAGCAGCATTTACGTATGCCAATGCATTTCCAAGAGGTCGTGCTGCAGCTCGATAGGTTTCAAACAAATACTTCGAACAGGTTTCAAGAGAACTTCCATCCTTTTTAAATGGAATTAAAATACTAAGTAGCACGCTCCTTGAGTCTAGTGGCGGCCTCGCTAAGAACTCCACGAACGTAAGTTTTTCATGTCTTTGACTGGTCATTATGCAAACAGTAGCGCCCAAACCAAGAAATAATGTAGCAATATCTGAAGGAAAACCATTCTTCTGTGACATAACCAAATTTCCCCCAACACTAGCAGAGTTTCTAACAAAGGGCGACGCAATCTTCTCCATATGCTGAGCCAGCTTTTTGCTAACTAGCTTTCCATATGAACTCAAAGTGACTTTGTTTTTCTCCTTCAAGAATGATATAAGTTTAGAGATAGTGAGAGTAGCCCCCAATTTAATTCCTGTCTGATCTAATTCAATGATCGAAAGTTCAGGGATATGTCTCAGATCAATATAACAGTCATATCGCTGGGTTTCCTTGTAATATCCTGTGCCTGTGTTACCAGAAACCAGCTTAATGCTTGCATCATTTTCAGCCAAATTGGAGTTCAACAAACATTGAAGCTCGTCGACAGAAACCGGAGAGTACCACGGATACCTTCTGGAGTCCAAACATGTGGCGAATTCACTTTTCAAGAATTGAGGAAATGTAGTTAAATTCTCACTTGGATCATAGGGAGGTAACTTACTCACTTTTATATCCCTAGAATCTTCCTTTTTCCAAAAAGAATTGAGCCCCAAATCCTCTATATCAACATCTGCCGCAAATGTCTTGCACGCATCAGCAATGGGTCGGTATCCAGTACAGCGACAAAGGTTCCCTGCTATGGCCTTTTCGGCTTCAGATGCGGTCAACTTAGAGAATCCTGGTGGAGAATCTGTGTGGTTTGCTTTATCGGCATTGACAAGAGCCGAGTAAAAGGACATACAAATTCCGGGAGTGCAATATCCACATTGAGAAGCATGAAAACCCGCAAACCGTTCATGAATCGAGTGGTAACCATCCTTGGTGTTTCCAAGGCCTTCACTTGTAGTAATTGAGCAACCATTTAAACTGCAAAGAAGCGTGAGGCATGAACTCACACTAAAATCTTCAACCCGTTTAAGCGTCGGATCATACTTTGAGAGAAGAACAACACAAGCTCCACAACCGCCTGCAACCATTTATAGGAATTGAAGAGAACTTTTCAAACTAAAGTTCTCAATTATCTATACAAACATCATAAAAAGATTGAAGAGCTGAAAATCACCTTCAAAGACTTCTAAAGAATAAAAGATTTTCTAGTCTAAACTTACCAAATTGAAGAACCAGAATTCAGCATAACAAAGTATCGAACTACGCTATTTTCTATAAGTAACAGAATGTATGAAGTCAGCCCAACAGAAAAGCAACAACTTAGCTAGCATTTGCATGTACATAACTATCTCTATAGAGCAAGGAGTAAAGTATTCATACTTAAAACTTCTTTTCGACCTCAGGACAGCAAAAGTGCTTAATAACAGCAACTGAGAGTTATATTTGCATGTACAGAATGAGAACTTCATTCTCCTGGATCACCTCCTGTTCAGGAAGAGCTAATGCTTGTTGGGTATTTTGGTTCGACACTACTTCACACTCCCAAAAAAAAGGGAAGGGAGCTACATACAAGACTACGAGCAGTGACAATTGCCCTATGAACACTGCTAAGTACACAATACATAGTTCAGGTATTGGCGACTTAATCATTTAGTGACTTTGGCACGGGACGTTATGGGTGCTATCGGGTAAATTCGATATATATGCACATTTAGAAATACCCAGTTTCAAGGAAAAAGCACAAAAAACGATGAACAAGGAGCCAACCTATCACAACAAAAATATCAATATAAAAAAGTTCCAAGCTTTTAGCATTTCTTTTGCAATTGCACCAAAATAAACATATAGAGCACAACTTCACGTAGCCCAATGGAACCCATTGTTCACATATTTACATGTATAGAATCTTTGAAATTTCAACAAATATTAACTTTTTGAACCCATAATTTCAAACTTCAACGAGTTCAATGCTAAGAATATAGATTAAAGGGCAACCTAGTGCACTAAGCACCCGCGCATAGCGGGTTTCGGGGGAAAGGCCGGAGCATAAGGGTCTATTGTACGCTTCTCAACCTGTGAGAAACCTGTATTACTACAAGAGGCTACTAAGAATATAGATTGACGTCATCAAATTTAAATTATGAATTCGCCTCTGCACATATATATAAAGGGAGAGGAAGGAGTATGACCTTCACCACAGCCAAGCTTGGGACTTTTGAAGCAAGTCTCGGTGCGCAAGAACTCAAGCAAAGTAGTTGAAGGGTCAACACTAGGCAGCTCAAATCTTTGTCCATTCACAGCAAATACCAAGATCCCATTTTTCACTGTCTCCTCCATTTTTCCCTCTACAGAGTACTAAAAATGAGGTGTTAAACTTCAAATTCTTGACTTTTTGTGTTCTTTTGGCTGATAATTGTACAGCAACCAATCTTGACATCAATTGGGTGTTAAAGATTCTTCATTTTTCAGTGTATTCTCCATTTTTTACTCTCCAAACAAGATTCTGGGCTCAACAGAGAACTAAAATGAGATTTCAGACTTCAAATTCCTGACTTTTTTTGTTCTTTTTGCTGAAAAATTGCACAACTACCCAATCTTGACTTCAATTGGATTTTTCAAGATTTTGCATTTTTTACTGTCTTCTCCATTCTTTACTCTCCAAATAAGATTCTTGGCTCAAACAATCCCTTCTAAATTTCATGTAATTATAAGCCAATTATTAAACTCTCCACCCCAACCAACCCCCTCTTTTTTTTTTCGGTTGGCTGCTAATGCAGAAGAATCTAAGGAAAGGATTAATAAGAAAGGCCATTTATTTAAGACATTCTGACAAAGTAAGCAGTGAAAGCACCGACTAAGCTGTGGGAAAAGAAAAGTGTCAAGTTCTAAGGTAATATCCATTCTTTTCCCACAATTTCCCATTTCTTTATATTTACAGCTTGTTTGGACCCAAAATGACATTTGTTTTGATTATTTCATTAAAATTAGTTGTATTATATTATTAAATTCATCGTCCCAAAACAATAAAAAGTCTTCTTTTTTAAAACAATAGATTTGTTCTGGTTGGAATGTTTCCTATTTTTCTTTCCAAATATGCCCTAACTTATTACTCTACAATTCTATTTTAACCTTTACCTTTTTTTTCTATTTTAACTCCAAATCTCAAACCTATAATCTACTTTATTTTTTTCCAACGTTAAAGGCGTTTTGCCGCCTTCTGTTTTATTTTTTTCTCCTAATTTTCTTTTAACTCAATTCTAATTAGCTGGGCTCCTTTGTTTTGCCTTCTTCTATCTCGCTCATTTGTTCTGCTTTCTTAAGGTGTTTTGCCTCCTTCTTTATTATTTTTTAAAATAATCTTTATGCATATTTTTTGATAAATTTAATAGTTAAACAATTGAGGGTATTGTAGTAAACTTATCAGTTACAGTATAGTACGATAGAGTCAAACCAAATAGCAAAATATTATTTAACAATAATAAACAATACAATTTATCCAAATATTGTATTAATAAAATGATACAATACAACAAAATACATTATAAAACGATGGGGAACAATGATCCAAACATAGTGTTAGCAAAAGAATCAAGGGGCCGTTTGGCAATACAAAAAAATCACTGTTTTTTTAAATCAGCATTTGGTCATGAAATCTTCAATTTTCACTTTAATATGAATTTCGTAAATTTTTGAAATTTTGAAGAACCCCAATATGCAGTTTTTCAAATTTTTCACTTCAGATGACTCACAAAAATTTAAAAACAACCCAAAATTGTATTCATGTCCAAACACAATTCTAACTTTCAAATATCATTTTCGCTTGAATATTTTTTTCTTTTTTCAAAATTTTAGAATTCTTATGTCCAAACACCCACTAAACAAGATCGGTTATTTCAAGGATGATCACTTTGACTTGTAATTTTTGTTTTACTATACTAAAGTCGTTAAAAATCACTTAATTTTGTTTAAGTATTCCAAATACCATTAAACATTTTTCTTTTCTAAAAAAGCACTCAACTTTCCTTGAATATTAAGAAATTGTCTCATTTGCTTCCTCGTAGTGACTTTTAATGATTCTTAGGCAAAGTCAAATAAGTTTTTCCGTCACAAAAAAAAATAGACAAAATTAAGTAATTTCTTATTAAATATAATAAAGTGAAAGTTAAATGACCAACTGCAATATTAACTCTTAAAAAAACTAGTGAAGGTTTTCTTTACCAATTAGAGAGTTTAAAGTTTAGGACAATCAATCACTCAATAAAGCTATAGGATGTATACTACAAAAAGAAAAATCAGAATTAGTTATGAACTTTGCCACTAATTTGTTGCTAAATCGCCCATAACTAACAAATTTTTTTAATAATCTGTAGCTAAATAGGATTAGCGACGAATTTTCTGTTAAGCTATAGAATTTGTCCGGTACTACCTCCTATTTTTTAGTAATTAATATAGAACCAACGCCCTAATTAGCTTTAAAATTAGGCCGAGTTAATAAGAATTTGTCTGTATAGGTATGTGCAACTGCGAATTTTCATTTTGTTTTTATATTCTTGATTTCCTACCAATTAACAAGTCCTGTACTATACTTTACAAATTATAACTTATAAATACTCCTCACTTGATTAATCGATCGTAGGCGGATCCAAGATTTAAAGCTTATGGGTTCTTATTGCAATCTCAAATTAATATACCATAATAATTGGGTTCACGGTTAAATATTTATAAGTATTTAGTAAAAAATTTAATAAAAATAGAGGGTCCACGCAAAAGTTACTGGGTTCCAAACCCATACACTATACTCTAGATACGTCCCTGATTATCAGGTATAATAACACCGCAACCAACGGCTTACTGGTTCAGATGAATTCAACAGTTTTTGCTTAGACTATGCATTTGTATTAAGAAATTTATCAGATATATATAAATATTTAACTGTAAATAACTAAAACGTGTTATGATTTCGATGCTAGTTCAGAATTTATAAACTTCAAATGTTGGCTGCGCTTTTAAATGTGCAACTTATATTAAACAGAAGAACAAGCTAATTATTTTAAAAAAAAAATAAATTAAATTAGAATAGGATTTGTAGAAACGAGACATGCAGTTCCCATTGAATTATTCCAACTTCTCTGGTAACAATTGAATATATTCTTAATAATGTTTTAAAGGAATCTATATCTCTTTCCCATGCAGAAAGAATACGTAGTCAAACGTTGACCAAAAGAAAGGCATGGAATTATGTTTAAGGAATATTTAAATCGAAAGTTAACACAGAAAGCATCTAAAAAAAAATACTTATTTTAGGATTTTCTTGAGTGTGTATATATATAACCTACAAACTTTCATCCTTTCAATATCTCAACAAGAAGAAAAGCCATAAAAGGAAATATCACAAAAATCTGCTAGAAGAAAAAAAGGGAAAAAGAAACATAGAAAATGGATATAAAGAGAGTTGAAGCTGCTCAAGAATATGAAGATTTTGTGCCAACATCAATGATGGTTCAAGAAAAAGACTATGACACTCTTCTCTTTAATCTTACAGGTGAGTTCTTATTCTCTTTTTTTTGTCCGGTAGCGGTAGCGGTAACGCCTTAAATCAAAGGGTGTCATCTGACTCCGCTTCGTCAAAAAAAAATTTACTTTATATAAAATATTTTTCTAAAAGTAATCTTATGTACATATACTATAGGACGATAGCATGAAAAAACTCAATGTATATTTTCTTTTAGGAACAAGAAGTAAAATCTTAGAACTCTAGACATTAACATGCCTAAAGGTTGAATTGTAACAATAGGCCGACACCAATTACGTTAAATTTTGGTTGCCACACCCCTTTGCGTGCGGTCCTTCTTCGGACCCTGCGTGAACACGGGATGACTTGTGCACCGAACATACCTTGATTGTCAATGGTTATTTCTAAACCACTCCCCCCACCCCCACCCCTACCCCACCCCCAAAAAAAGGAAAAAAGAATAATAAGAACAAATGGAGTGTGCAATATTACTTGACAATTCCTGAATGGGAGAGTGATATTAACTTTTCATGATAAATTATAGTTGATTCTAAAATGAAAATTTTATTATATTGTCTAAATGAGATATTTTCATAAAGAAAAATGAAGCAAATTCCAAATTCAATAGCTTTTGCCTATATTTCCATATTGTCTATATGCTTAATTTCACTATCACATAGGATATCTCATGTTACTTCATACTTTTCATAGTCAACCCTAAAATATATTCTATCTTCAGGGAGATAATGTTTTCATCCGTGGAATATGCGGCAAATCTTGAACGCATAAAAGTTAAATTTTTGAGTGGTTTTCTTATATAATAATTGCCTCAGTATTGTGAAAGGCTTAATGCATAAACCCTGAAACTCAATGAAGCCCAAAGTATGCGCTTCGCCTCGCTTAACTGGCAGCTTTACTGTAGGCGTGCTAACAATAAAGGCGCGTGCAACTTCACCAATGGCCTGTCTTTAAGAGCACAACAACATTTAAATGGATTAACTATATTTTTTCCATTCTTTTGTCCAATACTAATTGTTTGTGTTTATAATTTAAATTTCTTGCATTACATTTTTACTTTTATTTTTTTCCTTCATTGGCGTTTTTTTCGCTAAAATCTACACTTTAATATCGCTATGTGCTTAATAAAGCTCCAACATGTCTCTCTAGTTTTGCGCTTTTCACTTTTGGTATATATTCTGAAATACCCTAATGAAATTGAAATTCTACAGGTTTCAAGAAAGAACAGGTAAAGGTTCAACTGTCCAAAACAGGAATTCTAAATATTAGTGGACAAAGGCTAGTTTATAAATGGCAGAGGTTTCAGAAGGACATTCCTGTTTCAGAAAATTGTGACAAAAGCAAAATTAGTGCTAGATTTGTAAATGGCAATATTCTTTGTGTTAAATATCCAAAATTGATCATTTCAGAAGAAAAAAAGGATAAAAAGTTGCCTGCCTCAGCCAATGAACCACATGCTCAGAAGGAAAATGAAGAACAAGCTACAATGCAAAAGGTGTATTGTTTCGTACTATGGAAGTTATGTTTCAATAAGATATTTTCTATGAGGAAATTATTTTATAGTGTTTGGTTGCCAACACAAAATTAGTTTTCAGGATAATGTGGTTTTTGGTTTCTAGAAAATGTTTTCGAAGGAAAACACCTGGGGGGGGGAGGGGGGGGGGGGGGGAATGACTTCCTCACTTATTTTTCTTTAAATGTTTACCATTATCTTAACTTTTAACTTAATATTTTTTGCTCGAATTCACTTTAAGAAAGTTTTACGTATTAATCTTTAAGACTCAAAAAATTCATTAAAATGCTCTCCAATTCGCTAATATTGTTACTAATCTTTAATATATATATATATATATATATATATATATATATATAGACTGGCCCTTTTTTAAATTTGGAAACAATTTAACTTAAACTTCCAATTATATCCTTAATGGGAAGCTTTTATAATCACACAAATATTCTGGACCCCTTTTTGGCTTGTTTAGGAACACAAATTCCAAAAGTCTTCATTTTTTCTTAAACTTCTTGCCTAGTCAAACATGTTCGTATAAATTGGAATGGAGGGAGTATATTTTTTAATCTTTCTTGAACCGAGGGTCTATCAGAAATAGCCTTTCTACGTTCCCAAGATAGGGGTAAGGCCTGCGTACACATCACCCTCCGCAGATCCTATTTGTGAAATTTCACTGGGTTGTTATTGCTATTATATATTTTTTTTTGTAAAAGGTTTTCTTCTCACCAACTAAAATACATTTTCTCGAAAAATACTTTTCGTATAAAACATTGGTATTTTCCTGGAAAATAACTTTCTTCGTATCAAACACACTAACTGAGATGAATTTACTAAGCTGCAGGGTAATGCTGAGAATGTTGCTGCTAAAGAGCCAATACTGAAAGAAGAACCAAAGAACACTAATCCAAAAACCAGTGAACAAACAGAGGCTATAAGCCTTCCAAAAAGCACTTCAGAAGATGGAAAGGCAACAATTTCTTGCAGTAAACCGAACAATCAATCGATAAACGATAAGGAATTACCAGCCGGAGACGCTCAACTGCCTAATAATGCTGCGAATACTCCTGCTAAAGAGCCAGAACTGAAAGAAGAACCAAAGAAAACTAGTCCAAAAACTAATGAACAAACTGAGGCTAAAAGTCTTCCCAAAAGCACTTCAGAAGATGGAAAAATAACAAGTTTATTCACTAAACCAGATGATCAATCGATAAACGATAAGGAATTGCCAGCCCGAGATGCTCCACTGCCTAATAATCCAGCCAGTGAACCACAACAGCATCAAAATACCACTTCAATTGATGAGCCAAAGATCAATAAATCAAGAACTAGTGAACAAACAAGAGTTAAACCAGATAACGACAACAGCAACAACAACAACAATAACAACAATACTGCCTCAGTTCCTAACAAGTTGGGGTCGGCTAGTGATTTGTTCGCAAAGCTGAAGATGCGAAAGGAAGTGATAAGCATGACCCTGGTTGCTCTGTTGGTTCTTGGTGTCGGTCGCTATGTCATCAATGTGATGAAGTCACCCAAGAAAGATAAAGAATGAGACTAGCTTGTCTTCCTGGAATTAAAATTTAAAAATTGGGATATTATGTATCTGATGTGATTGTAAATAGAATATATAAACGTCCATTCTGAAATGTAATCAATGAAAAGTTGCAATCATGAATTATGTACAGTGGATGATTGTTCTTAATGAAATTAATAACTCTGCTGCAACCATTGTGATTTCCTGGCTGGTGAAACCAGTGTATGGGCTTCTACCTCTCCGGCCTGTTGGTAGCATATAGGAAATTGTTGGAAGCGTGTCAAACTAATAGAAGGGAAAAATATTTAAAAAGAGAAAAGTAATAAATTGAGGAAAAAAAAGACAAGACAAGACAAGATTTACATGGTTCAGCAATTTTCGCCTACTCCACGGCCATACAAAGAATAACTCTTTATTGATATTGAGAGAAAAAGAAGAATGTTGTAAGGATGATTTACAATGGCTTTTTAACATACTTTGATCTAATTAGCTCCATATTGATCTTCTAGACTTATTTTGGGAAAAAAACTAAAATTAGGATATAATCCTCTAACTGCAATACCTTAGAATAAAATGATTTGTTTTGTTTTCACATGTCTATATTATCTTGCTCATAGAAAAATGTTGACAATTCCTGCAACTAGAAAATATTTTTTAAGAATAAAATTAGTAAGATCTTACCTAAAATCAACAATATCTTAAGGATGTTGGAATATATTAGTAATATTGTCAATTAGGAAAAAATATTAGAAGAAGATGATTTTAAAAAAATAAGTAACATCTTTACATCTAAAAAGTTAGAAGAATAAAATTCAAATAACAGTATGTGTATAATTGTATTCTATTTAATAATTTTAAGGCCTCTAATAAGAGCTGTAGCTTTAGGCGACGTACACCATTGATATGCCCCTGTATGTTGGTTTAATTCATTGTGGATTTGAATGGTTGAATGGCGGTTAATGATGGTACGCATGGTAAGGGGGTCGACGGTTGTCAGTCACGAATTGTGACGATTCAATAGGTTGTTTTGAGTATTGGCCTTTATTTCTGAGTTTCGAGACCTCCATTAGCTTCATTTGATATTTTTTTTATTTTCCTGCGTGGTCCGTATCTTCTATTGAAAAAGTTTTTACGTAAAATTTTGAAGAAAAAGTAAATTTTTGTTTAAAATGGAAGTTCAGTTGACCACTTCCAATATTCTTTTTTTAAACGACCTCGGATCGAAATTTTGACAGTTCCGACATGTTCGTAAGATGTTTTTGGACTTATATGCTCTTTTGGTTGGGGTCCAGAGTGACCCGAGCATATCTCGGCGCGTTATATGGAAAATTATGAAAATGAGTTTTCAAGTTGAAAATCATGAGTTTTGATGATCGATTCTTATTATTTGATGTTATTTTAATGATCTGAGGTAGTGAACAAGTTTACATGATGCTATTACACTTGTGTGCGTGTTTGATTTGGAGCCCGAGCGGCTCAGGTGAGTTCGGGTGTGTATCAGATGAGTTTCGGATGATATGAGTTAGTTGGTGTGCTTCAATTCTGGCGTTGATATGCAGACCTCGCATTTGCAAGGTTTGGCTCACAAATGCGAGCCTCGCTTTTGCAATCAAGACATCGCATTTGCGAGCATGGGCTTGGGCTGGGAGACCTGCATTTGCGAGGAAGAGTTTGCTTTTGTGATGGGGGAAAGTCATATCTGCGAACTAATTGGTCGCTACTGCGACCACTGAGCATCTAGGGCATCCTCGCAAATGCAAAGTGGATATCCACATTTGCGGGGAGAGGGAGAGTTCGCATTTGCAATAAAAGTGTTGCATTTGCGACTTCTGGGCTTATGACGCGCTGATCGCATTTGCGATCTCTGCTTCGCATTTGTGGATTTTACAATTGCAAGCAAGAGTTCGCAATAGTGACACCTACAGCTGGGTAAAAAGGGAAAAAATGAGACTTGCCTCATTTTACACCATTTCTCAACCCTAAATACTCTAGAGGCAATTTTCTTGAGAGCTTTGCTTCCTAAAATCATTCGTAAGTGACTCTAAACTACTTTATTTCAATTACCCATTACTTTTCATGAGTTTTAAACATCAAATCTGTGGTTTCCATGATTGAAAGGCAGAAATTGGGAATTTCGTACAATTGAGATTTAGACCTCGAATTGAGGTTGAATTTCGAAATAAATCACATAACCAAGCTCGGAGGTGAATGTCTAATCGAATTTTGGTCCGAATCTCGGATTTTGACCAAGCGGGCTCAAGGTTGACTTTTGCTGACTTTTTAAAATACATCAAAGATTGAATTTTTTTATTCGTGAGTAGTTCCTAAACCTATTTTAAATTATTTTTGATCGATAATTGGTTAGATTTGGTTAGTTTGGAGGCTTGTTCAAAAGGCAAGGTCGTGTTTGATTGATTGGTTTGGTTGCAGAGTAAGGTAAGTGTAACGATCCGACCGGTCATTTTGAGCATTTGCTCGGTAGTTTGGGAGCATGAGTAGTTCCGTATGATATGTTAGGACTTGTGTGCAAAAGTTGAGTTTATTCCGAGTTGATTTGATATGTTTCGGCGTGAGTTTTTGGAGGTCGAAAGTTCGAAAGTTCGTTAAGTTTGATTTTTAGGTACATTTCGTCGTTTCGATGTTGTTATGCGTGATTTGAGGCCTTGTGTAGGTCCATGTTATATTATGTGACTTGTTGGTATGTTTGTACGGGGTCCAGAGGGGCTCGGGTAAGTTTCAGATAGGTTTGGGTTGTGTTGCACTCATTTTTCTTATGTTTCGACGTCGTTTCTTCAAGTGTAAATGGTACCACATTGAACAAACGAGCTACGATTTTTGTTGTGATTAAAGCTTTAGATGCGTATCGTATTATGGAGCCATAGCAAAAAGAATCGTCGAATTTGGACATCGTATGAGGGTTTTATAGTGATTTTACTAAGAATTGGGTTGTCAGATTTTTCAGATTAATTATGAAATTGCCACTGACTTCGTATTTAAAAATCTGTCCGGAGTGACCCGAGCACATTTCGGCGTGTTATATGGAAAATTATGAAAATGAGTTTTCAAGTTGAAAATCAAGAGTTTTGACGGTCGATTCTTGTTATTTGATGTTATTTTGATGATTTGAGGTAGTGAAAAAGTTTATATGATGTTATTACATTTGTGTGCATGTTTGGTTTGGATACCGAGGGGCTAGGGTGAGTTCAGGTGTGTATCAGATGAGTTTCGGATGATATGAGTGAGCTGGTGTGCTTCTGTTCTTGTGTTGATATGCAGACCTCGCATTTGCGAGGTTTGACTCGCATTCGCTTTTGCGATCGAGACATCGCATTTGCGAGCATGGGCTTGGGTTGGGAGACCTCGCATTTGCGAGGAAGAGTTCGCTTTTGTGATGGGGGAAAGTCATATCTGCGAACTAATTGGTCGCAATTGCGACCACTGGGCATTATGGGCATCCTCGCAAATGCGAAATGGATATCCGCATTTGCGGGGAGAGGGAGGGTTCACATTACCGATAAAAGTGTTGCATTTGCGACTTCTGGGCTTCTGACGTGCTAATTACATTTGCGATATGTGCTTTGCAATTGTAGATTATGCAATTGCAAGCAAGAATTCGCAATTGTGACACCTACAACTGGGTAAAAAATGAAAAAAAATGAGACTTGGCTTATGTTACACCATTTGTCAACCCTAAACACTCTAGAGGCAATTTTCTTGAGAGCTTTGCTTCCTAAAATCATTGAAATGTGACTCTAATCTACTTTATTTCAATTACCCATTTTTTTCATGAGTTTTTAATATCAAATCTATGGTTCCATGATTGAATGGTAGAAATTGGGTATTTCGTACAATTGAGATTTAGACCTCAAATTGAGGTCGAATTTTGAACCAAATCACATAACGAGCTCGGAGGTGAAAGTCTGATTGAATTTTGGTCCGAATCTCGGATTTTGACCAAGCGGGCTCAAGGTTGACTTTTTAAAATTCATCAAAGATTGAATATTTTTTATTTGTGAGTAGTTCCTAAACCTTATTTTAAATTATTTGATCGATAATTGGTTAGATTTGGGTTTTTTGGAGGCTTGTTCAAAAGGCAAGGTCGTGGTTGATTAATTGGTTTGGTTGTGGAGTAAGGTAAGTGTAACGATCCGACCGGTTATTTAGAGCATTTGAACTTCGCTCGGTAGTTTGGGGGCATCTAGGGCATCTAGGGCATCCTCGCAAATGCGAAGTGGATATCCACATTTGCAGGGAGAGGGAGTGTTCGCATTTGCGATAAAAGTGTTGCATTTGCGACTTTTGGGCTTATGACGCGCTGATCGAATTTGCGATCTGTGCTTCGCATTTGTGAATTTCGCAATTGCAAGCAAGAGTTCGCAATTGTGACACCTACAGCTGGGTAAAAAGGAAAAAAATGAGACTTGGCTCATTTCACACCATTTCTCAACCCTAAACACTCTAGAGGTAATTTTCTTGAGAGCTTTGCTTCCTAAAATCATTGGTAAGTGACTCTAATCTACTTTATTTCAATTAGCCATTACTTTTCAAGAGTTTTAAACATCAAATCTATGGTTTCTATGATTGAAAGGTAAAAATTGGTAATTTCATACAATTGAGATTTAGACCTCGAATTGAGGTTGAATTTCAAAATAAATCACATAACCGAGCTCGGAGGTGAATGTTTAATCGAACTTTGGTCTGAATCTAGGATTTTGACCATGCGGGCTCAAGGTTGACTTTTGTTGACTTTTTAAAATTCATCAAAGATTGAATTTTTTGTTCGTGAGTAGTTCCTAAACCTATTTTAAATTATTTGATCGATAATTGGTTAGATTTGGTTGGTTTGGAGGCTTGTCCAAAAGGCAAGGTCATGGTTGATTGAATTGTTTGGTTGCAGAGTAAGGTAAGTGTAACGATCCGACCGGTCATTTTGAGCATTTGAACTTCGCTCAGTAGTTTGGGGGCATGTGTAGTTCCGTATGATATATTAGGACTTGTGTGCAAAATTTGAGTTTATTCGGAGTTGATTTGATATGTTTCGGCGTGAGTTTTTGGAAGTCGAAAGTTCGAAAGTTCATTAAGTTTAATTTGAGGTGCGTTTCATAGTTTCGATGTTGTTATGCGTGATTTGAGGCCTTGTGTAGGTCCATGTTATAATATGGGACTTGCTGGTATGTTCGTACGGGGTCCA